ATATTGGCCAACCCATATTGTATTTGGTCTGATCAGTAATGATTAAGGCTCCTTTTTGAAATCCTATATAACCACACCACCCCAAAAGAAACCTAGGCATAAGAAGAAATGAGAGAGAGTGAGAAAGAAAGAAAGGAAATAGGAAGATAAAGAGGAAGAAAAAGAAAAAGAGAAAGAAAGAAGGAGAAGGAAAATGGAAGGTAATATTGGGAATAAAATCTCATTCTCCTATTTGCATTTATCTTATTCTATTTTATATTTAAAGTTGATATTTTAAGTTATTTTTTAAAAAGTTGTGAAAGTGTCGTTACTCTATCCAAACATTTTTATGCATCTCTTCTCTCTTTTGGTTTATCTGATATCTTTGATTTTATAAATTTCATTAATTTATTTTTATTAGTTATAAGAATGATTTAAAATCAAGACCATGGAACTAAGGAGTTTCTTTGATACCAAATAGATATTAACGAAACATGTAATCTTTTACTGGATGATTCTGACATGACTGACCCACAAGGGGATCAAAATGATTATAGGATAAGGAATGCCTTATCATGGTTTGAGCTCCGCAATATAAAATATTTCACATACAGAACCCACATAATTTGGGCGCTCACAGAATTGAGCATTAGTCCTTTTAGTTAAAGATTACATGTCCCTTTACATGTCTTTGTAAATAGAACCCACAAAGGTTTGGATACGACCCACAAAGGTTTGAGCTTATATTTATTATTTATGATATTATTTTCTTATTTCATTTACATGCTTCAAAGATTGCGTTGCGTTGCGTTTTTAGTTCTAACTATTAGATTCATTGGATTATTATTACCATTTTATTGAATTTAATATAAATATTTGTGATATCTTATGTTTCTTTGCAAAATTAATGGATATTATAAGTTTAGCTTTATTTTTTTGTTAAATTATTGAATATTAAATATAATATACGCAACATAAATTAAAAATATTATTTGATATCAAAACGTGTCCTAACATGTTGAAATATAACATTTTTTAAAATTCACGTGTCAGAGTGTTGTATCGTATCCCGTGTCTCGTGTCAGTATCGGTGCTACATAGAGTGCCGCCATCGTGTTCATCATCTTAAATTCTATTTCTTTGCCACCCTTATCTTCTCGCTGCACGTAAATATTAATTACATGGGTAAAAAAATAATGCATTCAGTCAACTATTATTGTTTCAAAAATTGGTATAAATTCATTCAGTTAAGTAATAATAACACACCGTAAATAATTTTTATTTGTGTAACAAAATCTTTCGAAATCTCTACAATGTTATTGAATAATAGATTTTTTCTTCCTGCTTTCATTATTTACCTAAAAATTTAAACATTTGATAAAGTTTGAGGACTTCATGTAACCAAAATTACCTCTCTCCGAAACATAAAATTTTCCTGATTTCTCACATTTCAGATCTTTTGAAAATCAAACAATAGTGGGGCATATTGAATAATCGCCTCAAGAAAAATCAGAATGGTAACACAAAATTTATAATGATTAACGGATAACTCTAGTATTCAAACGATTATAGACTATGCATGATATTATTCACCCAACTAAAATAATATCAAATATTTGAAATCTTCCCATGAAAAGAAAAGAAAAACATCAAACTGTAATTATTTACAATAAAATTGGTGGTATCTTTGAATTGATAGAAATTCCTAAGATAGCGCTTATTAATTATTATTTGACCCACTGAATTTAATGTTAATTTTAAAAATAATAGTTGTATTATTTATAATTTTAATTATTTGATAATAATAATAATTGACAGCACCATGACAATCTCGCTAGAGTGAATCTTATAATAAAGTGTATTACTCCCTAGTTTTATAATGGTAATCTTATTATATATATATATATATATATATATATATATATATATCTCTTTTTGTCGAATTTATAAATAGTAATTTTATATTTTTTGGCTTTTCAATTGTTTTCCTTTATTTTATTTTTTTCTTTTTACATGATGTGAAACAAAATCTTTAGGGAAAACTTCATTTTCACCTATTGTGGTTTTGTGATTTATCATTTGACCCCATGTGATTTTAAACTTATTGCTTAGACCCATTGTGCTTAAATAATTTATCATTTAGCCCCTCGTGGTTTCAGACTTTCACTTAGACACCTCGTGGTAAGGGTGTTCGCGGTCTGGATTGGATCAGTTTTGGAAGCAAAAATCATCCGATCCAATCCCTTCGGTTTGATCATATAATCATCCATTCGGTTTTGAGTTTTTTTCAAATCCGATCGATCCAATCCAATTTTTTTGGTTTGGATTGGATCAGATTTTGATTTTTTGAAAATCCTAAAATTTATTTCATAATTATTGTGCAAATAACATCTTTTGTATATATTGGTTTTGTAAATTTTTCTTTTTTGAAATACAAAAGCATTAGTAAACTATAATATAATTTTTTTAATTTTGACAATGAGATATGAAGCTCTACAAAGATAAAATTTTGTTGATGAGATATGACTAGATTTTTTATTGAGTTTAGTTGATGGGTTAATGGGTCTTGGGTTTAGAAATTTTTAGGCTATGAATAGGGAAATATCCAAGTAGGTAGAGGGAAATTAATATATTGGATCGGTTTGGATTTGATCGATTTTCATCAACCCATCCAAAAACTGATCCAATCCAATTAAAATTTGCGTTTTTAAATCGGTTTTCGGTTTTTCGGTTTTCGATTTATTCGGTTATCGATTTTTCGGTTCGGTCACCGCGGTTTGAATCGGTTTGGATCGCTTGATGAACACCCCTACCTCATGGTTAGAAATCTTTTTACTTAAATCCCTTGTGGTTACAAAAATAAAAATTTTGAAAAATAAAAATTTAAAATAAATGTTCCTTCTTTTTTATTTTTGATCCTCACCTAATGCATTTAGTGTTTAAAAAATAAAAATAAATTTTTAAAAAATTCACTTATTTTTATTAAGAAAATAAATTCAAATCAAATATTATTTTATTTTATCTATTTTTTATCCGATATCGTTATAAAATTATCTAAATAAAGTAAATATCTTATTTTGATAATATATATTTAATTTGTCTTAAATAATATTTTTTTAATTACAAATATCTTTTTAAAATAAATAAAAAAATTAAGATAATTTATAAATTAATTTCAGAATAAATAACTTGAAATATTTTTTAAATCCTAAATACATTACATGAGGATATAAAACAAAAAGGAGAGAATTTTTTTTAAAAAAATATTTATTTTCTAAACAACAAGATGTCTAAGTGAAAATTTTTGTAACCACAAGGGATATAAGTGAAAATTTGAAATCATAGGGGGTTAAATGACAAAATATTTCAGCACAGTGGTCTAAGTGATAAGTTTAAAATCACAGGGATTAAATGATAAATCAAAAAATCACAATGGGTGAAAATAAAGTTTTCCCAAATTTTTATTATATCAATTATCAAACTGTCATTAATTATAATAAATTTAATATTTTCAATTTTGCAGGGATTCCAAAAACTCGCAACATTCACCTCTATCTAGTGTAGGAAAGTCTGTGATTGTCGTCCAATTCTTATTTCACTAACCATTGTTATGATTAGCGTGATGGTTACATACTTACATTGTATATGGAATGTAATGGAACATTAAAGGTCATGAGGCATAAGAATAGTAAAAGAATATCCACACATATTTATAGTGAATGGATCCTCTCATATTAAATAAAACATGATAATGGTCATTGTGAGAAGTTATAATTTTACAAAGGTGAATCAACAATAATAAAGGAAGAGAGACAAAAATATTGAAAAAGATAATTATATAATCATCACCATTGATTTATTTTTGTATAAATATAATTTGTTTACATAAACATGTCATATTTTATTTAATACGAGAGAATGATCCATTTTTTTATAATAATAATGAAAATATTAATCAATTTTATCTCTATTTTTAAAAATTTGTAACTTAACTATATATATGTTGGGAAATGATCTGTTTACAAATTACATGAAGTATGACTGGTCATACACTCTTGATTAGTGTATGACCGGTCAGATATAGTGATAGTGTAGTTTGTAAACAAAAAATTTATAAATATAACCTTCCCTATATATGTAATCATGAAAATAAAAGGAATTTTGATTTTTTTTAGTACAAAGGAATTTAGATACATATAAAAAGAAAATAAAAAATCAAGATCGAACACTATGAATAGTAGACTTTTAAATTAAGGGGAGGTTTGATAGATAATAAATTTTTGTGTGTTTAGGAATTAAAATTATCAGGAATATAATGTGAAAGTTATTTTTTAAGGAATGGTATCAAAAAGTTATTCTAAAAAAGTGTAAAACAAAAAAATTTCGAAAAAATCAGATTCTCAATTTTTTTTTTCAGAAATCTTATACAAAATGTGAATAAATAAAATTATCACTGTCATTTTTAGAAAACCTCAAAAAAATTTCTCTAACAAACACTCGTAATGAAACAATAATAAATTATAAGAAATTATGAAAAAAAATCATAAGAGATCATCCAAATACAATAAATCATAACATTATAGGATAATTTTAATTATACTACAAATCATTCATGATCCATGAACACTCAACGCAAAAGAATGACAGAAGTTGATGACAAGATTGTAAGTTACGAGGTATTGAACAGTAGTCTTCTTATGAGCACTAAAGAATAGGTGAAGTCTCAAGAAATTAATAGGCAAGAAGTTGAAAATAACATGAGATTCGATAAATTTAATACAAAGATATTCTGCGATATTTTAATTATTTGAAATTACAATAATAATAAAAAAAATATCTTCTATGTACATTTTAAGAAACTATATAACCATTCATTTAATTATAAAATCTTATAAATTAATTATAAAAATAAAAACTTTAAACGCGGTTTGATAAGCACCACCGACTCAGACAAATGTTCGTAAGTTAGCAGATATAAAGTTGAAAAAGACACACATTTTTTTTTTACATGACACGACATTGGACCGAACCTAACCCCTTCACTTCTCTCTTATCTCTCCTTCGTGTTTCTTTTAGCAGCGTTTAATATTGAACTTTCGTGTGTTTTCTGCTCTTCTTCGATTACAACTACGATTATTATTATACACTGTTCTTTCCTCCGTTCTAAAGGTCACAATTATTTCCACCCTTTTTGTTTTGTTTTGTTTTCTTTCTTTCCAATATTTGTTTATTTTCTTACATCTAACTAATTTTCTTCTTTCAGTAGTTACCTGACCACACTGTCAGCACCCGTTAAACCAAGAACACAGGTCAGAAATTTGTGTACTGCGTTGTTTTTTTTTTAAAGTTAAATTATTTGTTTAATTTTGGTTTTATCTTGGTGGGTTGTCGATTCTTGATGATGGGGTGTTAAATTTTCTTTCTTTTTCTCTTTGGTGGCTTATGGGTTTTCTGGGTTTGTTTGAATGTTAGAATTATTGATGGATATTTACTCATGAGGTTGTTGGGTTTTGTTTGCATGATTGAATTTTTACTGAAATGATTGTTATTTAATGCGTTGGTTGGAATTTGGAACTCTGTCGCTCCAATTTTTATATGGATTATTGAGGGCTCTTGGCGTTTCTTCCTTGTTCCTAATTTTAAAATACTGTGTTCTTTTGAAAAAGGAAATTTCTTTTGGAATTTGGAACTCAGTCTCCAATGTTCATATAGGTTGTTATAGAGGGCTCTTGGCGTTTCTTCCTTGTTTCTAATTTTAAAAGACTGTGCTTTCTGAAAAAGGATTTTTTTTTTTTTTTGAATTTTTGAATTTGGAACTCAGTCTCCAATGTTCATATAGGTTATAGAGGCCTCTTGGCGTTTCTTCCTTTTTTCTAATTTTAAAATACAGTGTTCTTTGAGAACGGAAAATTCTTTGGGGCCAACAATTGCAAGATGCATGAAGAGTAGTGACCAAACGAGAATGAATACTGCTTGCTAGTTCCTTTTGTATCGTAGTTGAGATTGGCATGAATGACTGACATGATATCTGCATTGTAAATGACTTGGTAGGAATTGAATATCGTTCTTGTTGTAATCCTTGTGTTTGTTTGGCATCTGGTTGCTGGTGTCTAAGAACTTGCAAGTGCAATTTGCTTGTATTGATTTACTACATTAATTTTGCTAGTTCCGGGTGCAAGTTTTTGTGGTTAATTTTGTATAGAAATAGGTTTTTCTTTGTGTGTGTATTTTCCAGAGAGGCTGAGGTGCTATGGTAAGCATTTATTAGCATCCACATTTAAAATGATTAGATCAGTGTCAATTAGGAATAGCAATTATTGTCTTTTATCAATTTAGCATTTCAAATCTTCGTTATAAAGGCCAAATGGCTGAAAGGAATAAAAAATCACTCCTAATTAAATCCAGACTAGTGAGGGTGGGGTGAGGATAATTCTTGTATGCAACTTGCATATTTGCATAGAGGTTATTTTCCGGATTCGAACCCGTGATTTTTTAGTCACAAAGGGAGCAGCTTTACCATTGCTTCAGCCTCATCCTCTTTCTTATAATTCTCTAATTCTCTTTTCTCTCTCACAATTAATCAATTGTTCCTACCTTTCTCTCTTGCTCCCTCTCTCTAACTTAAGTAAAAATTCACTTAACGTGCTATGTTTGCAGGTGGTCAAAAAATTATGGAGTCTCACGATGAGACAGGATGCCAGGCTCCAGAACGCCCCATTCTTTGCATTAATAATTGTGGCTTCTTTGGAAGGGCTGCAACCATGAATATGTGTTCCAAATGTTACAAGGACACACTTTTGAAGCAGGAACAAGGCAAACTTGCTGCAACATCCGTTGAAAACATTGTGAATGGTGGTTCCAGCAGCAAGGGGAAGCAGGCCGTGACTGTGGGTGCTGTGGATGTACAAGTTGGAAATGTGGAGCTGAAGGCAGTCAGTGCTGAGATTTCTGGGGATTCATCCTCTGTTGAGAATTTGCAGATTAAAGCCAAGACAAGTCCTAACAAATGTGCTACTTGCCGGAAGCGTGTTGGATTAACTGGTTTCAGCTGCAAATGTGGAAACCACTTTTGTGCAATGCATCGCTATTCTGACAAACATGATTGCCCTTATGATTACCAGACTCTTGGTCGGGATGCTATAGCTAAAGCCAACCCTTTAATTAAGGCAGATAAGCTTGACAAAATCTAGAGATGCACCAGACTGGAGGTTAATCTATGAATTGGGTGTCTCACCTTTGGCTGTCTGGATTTTGAAGTGTGCTTTAGTGATTAAATTGATCCATGTCATGATAGTAAGCACGTTTAGGGTAAAACCTGCATTCCTTGTTGATTGGTGAGGATTCACTTGTTAGCTACCGTATGTTTGTGCCAGTTTGATGGACGCTATTGGCTCATTTTGTAATTTGATTTCCTGGTTGGTCTACATTTTTTTCTCATTGCATTAATGGTATTTCCTGCTTAGTTTGTATGCGCTTTTGCATTTGGTATTATTTATAATAATGTTGATAGGAACTGGTATTCATATTTCATACTGAAAATAGGATAGAGCACAAGGATGAAATCACTCCAAAATTCTGTTATCCTTTCCACTATTCCTCACCTCCTCCTCATTCACGTTTCCTTTCCTCTCCAATCCTTGCACATATTTTCTCTAATATCTTGCTACCACATCTTTGGAGCAGCTCTTTGTGACCGAAAGGTCTCAGATTCGATTCAGGAAATAGCTTCTAAGGTTGTGTACAATTAGCCTTCATTTCTTCTAAGGTTGTGTATAATTAGCCTTCATTTCTGCCCTCGGAAGTGGGAGAGTCTTGTGTGTTGAGATTTACCTTTTTTACCTGCTACAACATGTACATTCTATTACACTGTGCCACCACTGTTTCCTCCTTACTCCTAGCAGCATTTCTATTTCTCTCATAAATATGTATTATTCCAAGGTTCAACACTCCCATCCTACCGTCTTTTTTCTTCTCTTATACACGTTTCAAAGGCCATCAAATGTTTATTTAGCTTTTAATGCTCAAATTATGTGCAATCTTAAAGTTTGAAGCTGGGGACTTTGTTCTTTATATACTCCTCAGTCTATTATTGTTATATTCTTTTGGATGATCTTTTTTCTTCTTGTGGCTAGCTATTCGACGGTGGAGACTCTAACCTGTTTAATATAAAATTCAATACTAAAGCTAAATCCAACTTTTTGCATGTGGCTTTTGGTTCTGTGTTATGTTTTTTAGGTTTATGATGTCTGATTTTGTTTGTAATACATGTTATCAGAAACTACTCTGGTGCCATTTGTGTTATAATAGTAATGGTGGGGACTGGAATAGGTTTTATACCTTATATTTGCAATTCTGAGTTTTATTTGGGGTTGTCCTCCTTATGTTATAGCGGTTGCTCTTAACCTTGCGGTTGTGCACAAGAGATTGATTATCTATTTGTCTTCCTTTTCAATTATATATTAATCCTTTTCTCTTTTCAAATTATATGTTAATTTATTTCAATTTGACCAATATTAGACCGACACTGTTTGACCAATTTGTCTGTTTATTTGATTAAGTATTAGTAAAAAATTGGGCCTGTTTGCTTATTGTTTTACAAAACAGTTTTTTTATTTTAAGAATAAAAAACAAAAAAACTTGTTTGATGTAAGGTGTTTTATGAAAATGATTTTAAAAACAGTATGTGTTTATTTGTTTTTAGAACTAAAATTAAAGTACACTATTAACATGCTTTCGTTTTGATTTTTAGTTTTTTGTTCTAAAAAAATGTAAAACACGAGAATAAGCTATTTTCATTAATGGCCTTTTGTAGTTATAAAGTTATTGTGTTATTCTGGCTGGGGTTTGAGGAGTCTCAGAAAAAGTATCTCTAAATAATTTTGCAATTCTTTGCATAACATCCGTCCTCATCCCCATAAGAGTGTATCTGAATGATTTTTCAACTCTTTTGTGCAATACCTCAAATCACCCCTATCTTTCATCTAATGGACAAAATCCTTGGAAAAAAAAAATTAAAATAATGTTTTTTAAATAAATAATTACGTATTTATTGCAGTTTTGGGAAATAGTACGGATCTATTGCACAGGCGTCACATGTGACGTCCCATTGAGGCGTCTCACCCTAAGGGGGAACCAAATGGGGCGTCTCTCATGAGGTGTTGACACGTGTCACTTTTTTTTTCCAAAAAAAAATTAATTTAATCATAAAACTTCTAAAGGCCATAACTTTTGACTCGAGTATCCAAATCAGGTAATTCTTTTTTTGATTCTACATAACTTTTCGAGATCTACGCAATGACATCTCATTTGATATATTTTATTTCTCACCAAATTAATTTAAATTTAAATAAGGATTACCTTCTTCCTTAGATATTTATAATTCCTATTCCGGCAAAACTAGCTGCTTTTATTAATTCAGATTTTTCAAATTGATTTTTGAGTTTAAATCACAAATCAAATCTTTATTTTGTTTTCCTTATTAATAATAATTGTTACTTTTAATTTAAATCACAAACCAAATTTTTTTATAATAAAAATAAAAAAATTTATTTTTTAATTTAAATCACACATCAAATCTTGATTTATTTTTTGTATTAAATCACAAACGCAGAACTCAGAGGCTTCTGAGTTTAAAAATGTGACATGTGTCAAAACCTAACACATCACCAATCACGTCTAAATTGGGTTTCAATCAAGAGGCAATCACGCCTAATTTAAGTAATTTTATTTTTGAAAAACATTCATAAGCCATCATTAATTTCAGACCACGAATAATAACCCAGAAGCTTATAGCATTAATCATTAATTTTAAAAATAATATCCTTCTTCCTTAGAAATTTAGAATATTTATTTAATTATTTACTTTATTTCTACGAATTTTTCAAATTAATTTTTTAGTTTAAATCACAAATCAAATCTTTATTTTATTTTTCTTATTAATAATAATTTTTATTTTTATTTTGAATTTAAATCACAAACCAAATTTTTGTTATAATAAAAAAAATTATTATAAAAAAAACTTAATCACCAATCAAAATTTTATTTATTTTTTTATATTAAATCACAAATCCATAATTCAGAGGCTTCTGAGTTTAACCGCTCTTATAATACCATTCTTGTAAATTAAAATTGCGTTGGTGAGAAATAAAATATATAAAATGAGATGTCATTGCGTAGATCTCAAAAAGTTATGTGGAATAAAAAAAGAATTACCTGATTTGGATACTCGAGTCAAAAGTTATGCCTTTAGAAGTTTTATAATTAAATTAATTTTTTTTTTTGAAAAAAAAAATGACACGTGTCAACACCTCATGAGAGACGCTCCATTTGGACGTATTCCCCTTAGGGTGAGACGCCTCAACGGGGGCGTCACATGTGACGCCCAAAAGAGGTGTCACATGTGACGCCCAAAAGAGGTGTCACAGTGTACAATAGATCTGTAATTTTTCTCAAAACTGCAATAAATACATAATTATATAATTAAAAAACATTATTTTAATTTTTTTGCCCAAAATCCTTACCTTCATTAATTTTAGGCTTTTCCATGTTTTTGATCTGGATTGAGTTTCAAGCGTTAATAAAACATATTGTTCTCACCTTCAAGCAGTAAAAGATTGCCCTTAACTTAAAGCAGTTTTTGGTCTGAATTGAGTTCGTGAGTTCAGTTTTTACATGTTAATTGAGATTGATTTTCGGTAACTTTTTACATGCTGCATATCTGTGTGTATATACTATTATACAACAACCTAAGAAAAAATATATAGCGTTAGACTTTGTATTCTAGTGAAACTTAGATGTCCTTATTTTATTGAATTACCAATGCTGAGAGATAATCCCTGACCCTGCAAGTTGTGCCCATCCATGAGTTGTCTGACAAACACCCTTCCTCCGTGCGCCTATTGACGAAATTACAAAACAATTATTTTGCTGCCGACAATTACCCGACAATTCTTCATAAATCTGAATATAAACTAACAAAAAATGTTTGTCATTTTAAAGGTTTTTATCACCCTTTTTTCTTTCATTAATTATTTAATAATTATTTTGTCCCTTATTCAGAATTATATACTAATCTGTCTCTTTTTAATTGATTAAATTGAATATTTAATCGATTAAATAGTCAAATGAAGATTTAGTCGATTAAATCTTCCTATTTAATCGATTAAATCTTCCTCTTTATCAGAAGAACAACCTTATGCATGAGAGATTTAATCGATTAAATAAGGAGATTTAATCGACTAAATCTTCAAGTCAACGATTTTTGCCTATTTTGACCATTAAATCGATTAAATTTTTGGCTTGGTCGATTAAAGAGGTGCAGATTGGTAGATAGTTCTGAATAAGGGGCAAAATGGTTATTAAATAATTAATGAGGGGCAAAAGGGTGAAAAAACCCATTTTAAATGATTAAAAAAAAGTTATGTTATTTTAAGAGAGATAGGTACAAAATAATTTTTTTTATTTAAATTTTAAATTAAAAAAAACCAACCACTTTCTCTCTCCTACGATTTTTATTTTATGTGTCTATCTCTCTCCTAAAATGACATAACTTATGTCATTTAAAATGACAAACACCAAGCCCATAAACTAAAATTCATATATAACCAACCAAATGATAATAGCTCAGTTGGTGCATAGGAGCTGAGAAGGTGGGATGAGAACATGTGTTCGATCATTTTCAGTACCATAGAATGATTTAAAGCCTTAATCCTAAACGTGGCTTGAATAGGAGTGCCTCCCATGGAAATACCTATGGTTTATCAAAAAATAAAATAAAATCATATATAATGTTATATTGCTCAGAAGAATTGGAGGCTTAGGATACAAATTTGACAAAGACTCCCTAAGATTGTATACGCACGACATTTCTTTGATTACTCGAACTAGTGTAATAAATTGTCAAAATTTTTGGACAGCTTAAACTCACTATTTGGTATTATCAATTAGATTAAGGGCCACTTTGATAAGTAAAAAGCATTAAACTAATACACACAATCTACTTTGTTAAACAATGAGACAAAAATTACCTGAATTTCAATGAATCCTAGAAGTGGAAGCATTGCTGGTTGCTGTATAGATTGGATTATCCAATAATGAAAGTTCAAATAGAAGTTGAATGTTTCCTGATCAAATTTTTATGCAGCAGCAAAACTATTATGAGTTTGTAAAAGATGATTTCTTTATTACAACAGGAGTTTTCTCCCACTTGTTGCCACCAACACCTTGCTTTAATTTTAGATTTTCACTCTCAAGCATATTTAGCATTACACATGAGAGTTAAACCTCAAAATGTAAAATTTAAAAAATCAAAACAAACATTAGTACGCCAATAAAATAAAAGAAGAAAAAAAAAGCATCTTTATAAACCAAAAAAATTAAAAAATAAGTTAACAAGAAAAAAACTTATCAATCAAATGAGTTTTTTGTTTTCTTATTTTAAATACATATTTTTAGAACAAATTTATCAAGCAGAATATTTTGTTCTTTCA